ATAAAAAAGATTATACTTACAGTGGTTGTAATAATTAAATCTCTTTAATAATTTAATAATACATAATTTTATCAATACAAAATTTTCACCCAAACTAAAATTAAAATAAATTTTCATATGTTTAAGTTATTATTATGTAAACAGGTCTTTTACCTAAAAAAATTATTAAGTGGCTATAATATATTTTACTTTTTTTATATTATTTATCAGTTCATTAATTATTCAGCTAATCAAATTAATTTAAATAAAATAGAAACATATAAACAACATTCCATATACTCGAACTTGAAAATACTGATGTAGGTGGAATATCAATTCATGTACTTGGGTGGTAGTGTATTTTGATTTTGACATCTGTGTTTGCTACGTGACAAGAACTCACGAGTGGAAAAGATACTATATGAGTGGACATATTGGAGTCACAAATTCCGCGAGATCCTCGAAATTATTGCTTGTAGAAAGGCCCCCTCAATTATAACATGTCCTTTTTTCGTCATCTGCACAACAATCAATATCTTCAAAAAATTATTGGCATTAGGTGATTATCATGAGTGTGATGTTTTCTATGTAGTTTCTTTACATGGATTGTCTCTTTGCTTGCTATCTTCATTCGTATTATTTTTCCTTCAATTGGCTGTACATTTGATTGTACATCCGTATTATTTGCTTCATTTATTGAATCCCTGTTAATCATATATATGTTTGCTGAAGGCAGTGAACCTAAGAGATGTGACTCATTTTGTCTTAAGAGCCAAGTTCACGAGGGATATGGATTTGGATGCGTAAGCAGTTAATCGATTAAGGTCCAAGTTGAACACTCATATTATGTTCTGAGGGTTTCGTGAAGTTACATGCAAAACCACAATGGAATTTTTTAAATGTGTTGCTTACAAGAGACTAAAAGCAGCCAAGTTAGAAATGGAATCAGAAAGGTTAAGTATGAATAAGTTGAAGAATTGTATGACTAAATTTTTTTATGGAAATTTTATTTGATTGAATTATATTTTAGTAAAAAACTCAAAATTTTGTTATTACATAATTAATATTCTCTTCCACTTATTAATACCAAGTGTAAAATAAAAAAAATATCAATGTCTTATTAATTTTTCACAGTGGCAAATAAAATGAATATTTTTTTATAAAGAAACTGAAAAAAATAATAATAGTTGAAGAATATATCGTAAAGTTAAACATGTACGTTTTTAAAATTACAAAGGCTAATGGCATGTTTGATTTCTATTTTACAAAAATGGTTTTATAATTTTTAGAAAAAAATAAAAAATTTATTAGAAAATTATGGTTTTGTAAAAATGATTTCCAAAATAATATTTATTTTTTTATGTTTTAAAACTAAAATTGAAGAACAACTTAAAATATTTACGAAAATTAATTTTTGATTTTATTATTTTTCGATGGAAATTTTATAATTATGGAGATTGATTAATTGTATTTTTTAAATAAATATAACGTATTTTAAATTTTAGATTATTTTATAATTATGAATATTTATTAATGGCATTTTTATAAGTAAATTATTTTCTAATTAAATTTAAAATAAAATTCAAATAAATATTTTAATTTTTTATTTTTTAGAATTTATATTACACAACAATTTTGAAGAAGTAAAAACCAAAATCAAATTCAAATAGAGCCTAATGATTTGAACTTAAATATGCTATTTCTACATCTAAATCCTTGTATCTTCCCTTATACTCGCTTTACTTTAGGGAGATAAAAAGTAGGTGTAATTGGAATATTTTTCTATAGTAATTAAATATAAGGGAAAATGTATGGAACTATATATAGAAAAAAAAATTCAGAACTTGTGATTACAATGAGCTGAGTTTTTTAAATATTTTTTTTATCTGTTTCATTAACTATTCGACTAATGTAATTCGTGTACTGTATGATATATGACCTATATATGAAACATCTCTCCGTAATTACTTTTTTAATTTTCAAAACTCGAGATATATATCACTGAAAAATAAATTTTTAATCACTTGAATTAATAATTATTACTAGTTTTTTTTAAGTATTTTAATAATCAAATCTCAATAATAATTAATAAATAATCTGATTTCAATAATTGACTCAATTTAAATATCATACCGAAATTAGACAAATTAAATTAGTCCAAAGCTTAGGAGCTGGTGATTGTGAATGTGAAAGTGAATGTGAGTGATGGGAGTGAGAGGGGGAAGTGAGTGACGGTGGAGTCCCATCAGATTCCAAGCCAAGGCGTTGCGTCAAAAAGGGAGACTACGAAATCCTGAGAGAGGAATTTAGTGGGACCCTCAAATCTATGCCATGAGCTGTTGCTTTTTTGACATTTCTCGCTTTTCCTTTCCCCACACACACCCCTCTCTCTTTCTTTGCACTCCCCGAGAAAAAGAAAGAAAGTGACCGAGAAAATATGAGAGAGAATGTACGATAATGAAAGGGTAGCGAGCTAGCTAGCTAGCTGTTGATGATTCATGCAAAGTGCATCCATCCATCTACACGTACAATGCTTCTCACCTTATCCTCCTCCACCCCACTCATCTTTTTTTTTTTTTTTAGAAATAGGCTAAATGGTGGTAGCTCAGTTGACGCATGAAAGCTAAGCAGGTGAAGGTGAGAGCATGTGTTTAATCTCCCCAGTATCACTTTTAAGAGGAGTTTATAACCTTAATCCTGGACCCGTCCCGAATCGAATTAGTTGCGAAGTAATGAACCGTTTGGAATATTTCCTTTTTTGTTTTAATATAAAAACTCTTTTCTCTCGCATTTAAATTTTTTCCTTTAATTTTTTAAAAAAAATTAGTCATTTTCTTAATTTTGCCTTATTGTGCATTGTTTATTAGGTATATGCCATGCATGATCATGTTAATTGAATTTGCAATTTTTCTTTAAGAATATGTTAATTATAAAATATCTACAATTTATAAATGAACATACTTTTTGTTTGTAATTATTTTCATTGAACAAAAATGACGTCAAAATATATATGATATAGTCTATAAAACAACACTAAATAATAAATCTTTCCTTAATTGACAAAGTACTTTAACTCACATATTTCTTTTCCCATACTCCTCTCAAACCTTATTGCTGATTCATTAATCTTTTTACTCGTATAATTCTTGTTGGATTGTGATTTTAAAAAGGAATTAAAGATATTATGCATATTTTGCTTAGTATTAATAATGTACAATTAGCAGCACTTGGAAGGAAAAACAGAAGAGAGCAAAAATATGACACAAAAAAAATAGAGAGAAAAAAAAAATAGATGCATGAGTTTAGTTTGCCGACTTCGTCAATCATTGATTATTAAGGACCCACTAGTTGTTGAGTTTGAAACGACTTGCAAGATCTATTGTTTAATTCATTTCCTAAATTAATATTGGCCCATACAAGTATTAGTTTGTCTACTTCACTCGACGGACCTACAACAGCCCCATATCTTATTTCGTTTAAACAATTAAGAGAATTGAAATTCTTCTATTAGCACGTGTGAGTGGCTCAAATTTCCTTGATATTAGTGCAGCAGATAATTTCTTCCTTCTGATGTGATATTGTGATTGTTTGATCAGTGAGAAGATGCTTTCGAATTGAAAGAAACTTCAGGTCTAACGATAGGCACATGATGTAATTGGGTTAGATATACTAGATAGATAGTTGTATTATAAAATTGTCAATCTGTTATAAACTTATTCAATCATCCAAATTAATTTTCATAAAACCTTCACTTATATTTACTTACTGTTACCTTACAAGTGGTTTCGGCAAGGACCATACAAGGTCAATCATAAAATTTTAGGTTAAGATATGTTGTCCGGTCTACTTATTATAAGCTTATCGTTTAGTCTATTGATGATAGTTTTTTCTTACCATGGGCTATATATATATGTCAGTCATGTATTTAAGTGGGGTGAATATTCGGAGATGAATGCAGGTGCAAATTGGGTTTATTGTCTTCCCAAGCTCATGTTTGTTGGGTATGACTCATATTTCATATGATGATGAGAGTTTTTGTTGTCAGAATCAGCAGAAAGGCAATTGTGATAACTCTCCGACGAGAGTCAGGAGGCAGCGTCCCCATACCCGTAAAAGCTAAGTAATGTTGCGAGCCTATGATTTATTGTAATTTTTCTTTTTTTTAGTAATTTGGGCTTGAGTCCATAAATAGCTGCTGTTAGGGATTTCTAATCCTATTTATATTCTTCTTGTAAATCGATTGACTTTTAACGAGTGGCGGTAAGGTGAATATATCACAGACAAGCTGGACGTAACCTATACTGGGTGAACCAGGGTAAATCGCCGTGTCAAAATTCTCTCCTCCCTTTCTCTTCTATTTTTTTGATTTGTGTGTGATTGTCAATTTCCAACAATTGGTAACAAGAGCTTTAATTTTGTGACCGGGGTTCCTGTGGCAAATTGGGGTTTCACGATTAGGGGTTTTTTCTTGGCATAGAGACTGTAAGAACCCGCACCTTTAAATTATGAATTTAATTAATTTAATTATGAGTTAAGAGAAAAATTCCATAATTGACCTTGAATAATTATGAGAGGGCTTAAATAATTATAGTAAGTGATTAATAATGTTGAAAGTCTCTTTTCTGACGAAAAATGCAGATACCGGTTCTGCTCCACGGTGTAAGTGCGTACCGATGAAGTATCCCGAAAAATTATAATAAGTACATGAATATTTCTAGTAATATTTAGGACTGGTATGTCAAGTTTGGAGTCAAAATAATGAGAATTGGCGTCAGGACTGATAGCGGCTACGTAAAAGCGCATACCGAAAAAAGTGCTGCGAAAATTATAATAAAAATATGAGAAATCCTAGAAGAATGGCTAGGTTTAGAATTTAAAATTTGAGATTAAAAAGATAAGAGGAGCTATTAGTGCTAATACAGTGGGTTAAACTTAAGTGGACTATAAATAGCAATTGGCACATAACCTTAAGTTGATTCTATCAGTCTTCTATGTGCCTTGGCTGCTGCCACCTTCTCCTCTCTTCAGAAAACTTGGGTTTTCTTCCTTTTTGCATCAAAGACTCCACCTTTTCTTCATGAAAACCTTCCTTTATCATGGTGTGGACTTCTAGCTAGCATTGAGGGAGTGGAGAGTGCCTTCTTGAAAGCTTTAGGGTCTGTTTTCTGTGCATTCAAGGGGCTGATATCTTGGTTAAGTGAGTGGAAACCATCTCCTTGGGTGTTGGAGCTTCGAGTGGTGAGCTTTGTGAAGAAAGAGCCAATCTTGTTGCTCATTTTTGTGGCTTTGTAAAGTCAGATTGTTAGAGCTGTATTGTGAGCTCCAAGAGAACCATTGTTTCTGTTTCAAGCCTTGGTGGTAAGCACCATCACCTTTGCCATTGATTTTCTATAGAAAGGATGAACCTTGATGCATGTAATAAACAAAAGATAAGAACTTAAGGGTGGGTAAGGTTTAACACACCTAGAAATGCATGTTGAGCTTCTGGAATCGTTAAAAGAGCAACCTTTGAAGGGATATCTCGTGAAATGCAGAAATTGCATTCTGTTGTCGCGAAATATCCGGATATAGGGCTTGTGATTTCCGGATATGGATATCCGGATATTCCCCTGACAAATATCCGGATATTCTGAAAATTTCGAGTTGGGTATTGTTCTGTTCATACAGAATTGTATATTTGGTTTATGGACCCATGAGTGGTTAATGTGAACCTCTGTAATAATTGAGCTAAATCAGAATCACTTAGATTAAGGCCTATGGCTTTGGGAGAAGCCTAATGACATGAAACGAAAAAGAAAATGTTGTCGTAATGTCATGAACCGCTAGAGTAGGAATGTTGATAAGATTTCTGGTCTAAACAGATTGTGATTGTGCTGTTTCTGGACCTTGGGCTGTGGTGGACTCTTGGCTTGGGATTTATTGCTTAAGAGGTAAGCATTCGTGTCCTCGAATTGATCCGTTGCTTGTTCCAACGACCTCCATGGGAGGATGGTTTATATGCATGTATGCTTTTATGAAAGATAAAATATGCATTGATATATATCTGAGATCTATTGATTTAACTGTTGATGTAATGTATGAATGTGATGTTGATTACTTACACGATCAGGCTGCGACCCTGGTGTGTAAGGCATAAGGCTACGACCCTTATGTTTAGATAGGTCGCAGATGTGCATAAACCCTATCATGTTCCCTGGCCAGTTGAACCGCACTTAAATATGAATTGTATTAGTTAGCTCGTTGAGCAAGAGATATATTGTCATGATTTAAATGCCTTAACATGAACATGCATTTTAATTACTGTTTTTGAACTTATATATATACTTGTAAGTGAGCTTGGGGCGGAAGAGTCCTGGAGGACCCCTTGTCTTACTGAGATTTCTTGTTAGAAATCTCACCCCGTGTTGGGGCACATTTTCAGGTACACGTACCTCTGAGGTTGAGACTTCTGGTAGCAGGAGGCCGGAGTTGAGCTCATTGCTGCATGTTTACTGTTTCTTCCCATATCACATGACTATGCCTATTTTACGTTTTATGGCTATTGTGGTTGAGACTGGATGACTATGTTGTTTTATTTGGTGAGCATGGGGGTTGTTCATGCCACATGATGATTAGCTATGTTTGAGTTATTTGAATTATATAATGTATCAGGATATTTTCTGGTCTACGTGTGGTAGTTCCGTGACTAGATACACATTTATGTTATAAAGATATTCAGTTAGCTTTAATTGCAATTTACATACAAGCAATATTTTGTAAAAGGATTTAGTAATCAACTTGGTTAATAATGATGACGTCATAATTGAAAAGAAAAATTTAGCTTCCGCATTTAATTGAGCTGCGCTTAATATCGTAATACGATAACAATCCGGGTATACACTTGATGTTACAGAGACAACTGCGAAATTGATCTGAAAAAGATGTCGACTGGCCAATCACGGATTGAGGTTGAAAAGTTCGAAGGAAAGGGGTTCGAGTTATGAAAATTGAAGGTGGAGGCTTTGCTCGTTGACAGGGACGTGTGGCACGTGATGGAAGATGAGAAGCCATTGGTACCAACGAAAACTATCAATGACGGAATGTCGGAAAAAGACGAGTCGAAGGAGTCAAAGGAGTTGAAGGCGTGGACCAGAGATGGTAGTCTCCCTAATTAGCCTCTCGTTGTCCGCTGCCCAACAATGGTATCAGAGTCGGGTTGGGCTCGGGCTAATCAGGTGATTGGCTAGAGGTGAGTTTAGTACTTTGAGCCTGTATATTTGGAGTTGAGAGGGAGCATACCAATATTGAGTTTTACACTTGAGGGTGAGATTGTTGGGATATTCAAGTGTGACGAGTTTCACATTGATTGATAATGGGATAAGTGAAGTCTATATAAGTAGGAGGACCTATGTATCCAATGTCTATATTTTGGGTTGTGATATGGTGTCAGACCCATTTAGTATGATTGGTCTAGCTTAACACATTGGTGCCAAAACTACTTTTTGTTGTTTTGAAGTTTCTTCATTATTATAAGTGGTTCCATTTTTCTCATGTTGCTGGAAAAAAATTATCTCATGCAAAAAAAAAAGCCTCTGTAGTATAGATAGTATATAGTTATGATGGTAAAATTATTTTTCTCTCTCTGTCACGTCAGTCAATAATGTCTAAGGAGAGAAAAAAATAATTTTAATATTATAATTATATATTACTTGTAGTATATATTTATTTTTTGCATGAGATAATTTTTTTCTAATAACATAATAAAAGGATTTCTGTGTTATAAAAAAATTATTTTTATAGGAAATATTTTCATTAAAGTAAGCCAAAACTATTTTCAACTGTGTTTTCTATATCATCGAAAATGAAAATAAAATACCTGAAAAGGAAACGCCTAAATGTTTCTGTACTTTTTTTTTCCTCATGACCACTTCCCGTTAAATTCCAATTAGTCAGAATATGATTTCAATCTTCTGTTTAAAAAGTTGTTCATATATGTGCTAATAATTGGCCATATAAAGCTCAATATATTAATCTTTTCTTGGAAATTAAACACTGTTTCTCGTTAAAAATATTAATTTATCTATATTATGTGTATATGTGTAAAAGCTAAAACCGTTATACATGTCGTTCTGTACATGCTTTTAGGTTTCAGTATAAATAGAGCTGAAATCTTCGTACTGTTTTTGACGTTAACATGTTTTGTATTAAAATATAAATAACCTTGGCTTATAGCACTTTCCCCAAATTTAATGCCTAAATTCTGTATCATGTAAAGGTATACATCTTAGTTTGTCTCTTCTTAGCTAAGTTAGGTATTCGGCTAGCCACATACCTTGTCGAATATGAGGCTTTTTGACTCTAAGAACAAAGAGATAGAAAACAGTAATACTTTTAAACCGAGCCGTACCTTTCAACATAAAAAAGATACTTTTTATTTGTTAAAAGAGAAAAGCAAATATTCTTGACTACTTGCTTCCTGGAATATTAAAACCTAACCAAACTTTCATCAAGATGGAGCTTGAGAGCATAGTGCTGCGTACATTTCACCTGAACAATGTAATACTTTGATAAGTTTATTTTAGAATAATGTATTTTTTTCAATAATTTTCAGAGAAAAATAGAAAAAAAAACTTTCTAAAAAAATTGTTACCTTGCACCTCTATTATAAGCCTTTTGAATTTTATACCTCTTAATATTTATGTTAGCGATCAGTCTAAACTCTAAAGTCTAACATTGTATTGTACGATCATTGACATTTTCATCCACATCAAAACCGAATCAAGGTGAATACAATGCACGTGAGAGACACAAAAATTTGTCATGCAAGATGAGGTTGTTCCAAGTGTTTTGGGTCGGTTTGTGTGTCGAGAGAAATAGGATTTCTCACATTCTGTTTGTGGTAAGTAGTATTATGTAAAGTCTCTCTCATTATCATAAACAAGGTACTGCATCAACAGCTAACTATCTAATCTAAAGTCAACATAACTAATATTAATATTGCCTTACGATCGACAAGTACACTCTGACTCAATATAAGTCACCTATATATGTCACTATATTTGAGATTTACAGGAACTTGGATTTCAGTCCCACTAAAAGAGATCGAGACTCTCAATTTCTTATTCTCTTGTCCTCTGTCATCCCTTCCGGTCTACCGGTCTATTGTGATCAAACATTAAACAAAAGTAATTTATCAATATAAAGAAGTTTGTCACATAATTTGTCACCCTTTTCTATTTTTTAAGAAAAGAGTTTACGTCCTCCTATAATATTTTGGACAAACCATTAATTTAAATAAGGATTTAACAATAATAAGATTATAAATCATTTATTAACATAAAATTTATAAATTTAAATAAAATAAAATTTTAAAATCATCACAAGAGAAATGTCGATTTAGGAGTCAATTCACATTTGAATTTTCCCCCTAAATTAATTAAGAAAAGTTTGGTACAGGAGAATTTTTTTTTTATCTGGAGAATTATGATTATCGAGAATATGGTAGAATTTTTTTTCTCGAAAATATTATAAAAAAGTTATTTGGATGGCCAAATTTTTTCCAAGAATGTTATTATTTTTCCGATACTATGTTTGGTTGATTGTAAAATATTGTTGGGAATATGAATTGATTTTATAAACTACCATTTATAATAAATAAAAATAAAACAGATTAAGCCAAAAAAAATAATGTTATTCCACCAAGGAGTAGGCCTTAATACAACTGGCATTGTCTATAAGCCTTCATTAGAATCTGAACCTGAAATTTCAGGTAGCGTAAGGAAGAAAGCTACACTCTTATGAGGAGTACTGTCAGATTTAGGTATGGACATGGATGAACTGAAGAAGAAACACAAAGTTCTCCATGTTGAAACATTTGACTCACAGAAGAAACGAAGTGGCGTTGCAATAAGGAAGGAGACTAACAACACGGTTCACGTGCGTTGGAAATTAAAGGAGCTGCAGAGATGTTCAAATTATATTTATAGTAATGTCACAATGAAATCCCTTGATGAAGAACGGAGTAAACTTGATAAGACAAATCAAGGCATGGCAAGTAGCAGCCTACGATGTATTGCTTTCGCACACATGGAGATTTCAGAAGATTTTGATTACAACGGTAAAGAGAAAGGACGAAGACGGTGCTAAGGAGGGTATTTTGATCTGAGAAATGATCCCCTATTTTTTCATCGGGTAAGGGAAAAAAATACCATATATATCTTGGATGGTATTTTTAAATGAGAATCTGCCTTGTAAAATAAAATGATGGAAAATAATTTTTTCATAATTATTTTTACTCTTCTTCCTATCAAACATGGGGAAATAATTTTCTCTAACCCACTTTTCTAGAATTTCAAAAAAATTCCATTTACCAAACAACTTAATATAATCTTACCTAACATCTTAAGTTTTGGGTTAAATTACATCCTTACAAACTCTTTTCGATCAATCCAAAATATAGTAAGGATGTATACGGATTTTTTTTAAAACGCTTTTTATGATATTATTTTATGTTAAATATTATTTTAAAAAATATTTAACTTATAAACAAGTATTGATTTTTAATTTTTGGTTTTTTAAAAATAACTAATTATCTGAAATTTTTTTATATAATTTTAAATAAAAAATTATTGCTTAATTTTTTTTTTCAAACGGCCTAAATATCTTGTCCTAATTTATTCCGGATTAAAAAGATTTATGGGCCCGGCCGAAACACGAACCCCACCTGTAATTTACAGTAGCCAGTTCGTTGTATCAAATATCAATTTTATGTGTCCTTTCCTCCTCCCCTTCTTTAGATTTCTCTCTCTCTCTCTCTCTCTCTCTCTCTCTCTCTCTCTCTCTCTCTCTCTCGTTCTTGGTAGGTGTACATATAAATAATATTTTACACATACATGATACATTGTTAATGTTTGGATTACCTTATTATATTGTATTTCATATATTTATGATTATGATTTTATTCTTTTATATATTGTTTTTCAAATTTATTTCTGATTAGTAATAATAAAATCATTTAATCAATGTATATGAAATCGTTTTCAAATCCGTCTTCACCTTTTGTTCTCTTATAACATCGGAATATTGATATGAAGTTATTGAGAAGTATAAGAATAAAGAATATTATATTTTTATTTTTTAATAAATAATACTCATTTTTAATTTGATCATTATATATACGGTATGACAACAAAAATAAATATTGAAGACCAAATTAAAAATAATTCTACGTATAGGAATCAAAGTAAATAATTTTTTATAAGAATTAAATAAAAAATAGTGCTGTGTGTATGAGCCAAAAATATAGTTTAACCATAAATTGGTACTTTTTTACAATATTATATATGTATTACTTTTTTAGGCTTTTAATATTGTCCATTGACACAAAGATTTAAGAAATGTGTGATGGAAAATAAGAAATACACACAAATATAAACGCCCTAATTTGAAAAATCAATAACAAAAAAACTCAAAATGTAGTGAAACATATAGTAAACATTTAAATTAAATTCATTTAATCCAAAGACCCTTCATTCACAATCACCTACAAAAACCACCTAGTTCCCAGCCTTTTTAATTATTTTTTGATATATTTAATTATTTTTTGATATATTAGTGGAAATTGAACATATAACCTAATGTAAACTATCCAAATCTCTCATTAGATGAAACCTAATGCCTTAATCGCAACCTTTTTATATACAAATAATGTTCCTCTCGTGATCTATTCTAGTACTTCTCTTTACATCGGCTAATTAGAAAATTCATAAGAATTTATCTTCTCGCAGTATCCACTAAAACTAAAAACAAAACAACAAAGTAACTACAACTTTTTCTAGGAAGTCTAGCTTGTGCACATACTTTTCATAGCATGCTTCTACTATAATTTTATTGTATATATTAGATGTGAGAACCAATGTACTACAACAAAATCATATATTGTAGAGTCACCCTCATCATATCATATATACATAATTATGTAGCCACGAGAAGCGCAGTTTGAGAGACATCAATTATCAAGTACAAACTTCCACATTCACTAGAAACCCATAGGCGAACACAACCATTATTAGTTGAAACATCAATGTCCATTTTACACTCCCGTCTGTTGTCGGAAATTTTGGCCGTAGGTCACAAGGGATTTTTTCTCCACACGCACAGTAGGATAAGATATGCTTTTTATGCATGTGATTCCTTTCAACTGTGCAAGTAACCGATTGCCAAACTAATTGTAAAAGTCATAGCTTTTGTCTTGTGCATAAGTGGCAAAAAAAATGCTGTTGGGAATTTTGCTAAACACATATTGTACTGCAAAAACTAGCCCTTCGTAATTCAGTTTCTGTAACCAACATGGTCTGCTGATGGCAACTTTAC